TGGAAAATAAAAAAATACAGAACAGTATGAAACAAACCTGCACGTTGTGCACATGTACCCTAGAACTTAAAGTATATAAAAAAAAGAATGATAAACAACGTATGTACCGACTACTCATTAATATTTTATTATTTTTGTTTTTAGTCTTTTTTAACTAAAAAATAAAACATTACAGATTAAAGTCCTCTTTGTTTCCCATTCTGTCTCATCTTCTTCCCAGAGACAGTTAATGTTACGAATTTAAGGTGCATTGTTAAAATATTTTTGAATACTTTTTACAGGCATTGTTATGTATCCAAGAACAATATATGCTAGTGTGTGTGTGTGTTTTAAATGCACGTAAGGAACAGTTTATCCTACATAGTTTTTTGTATATATCATTTTAGAAGTTCCTTTTTAAAAATGTAACATTGATTGATCCATGGATATCTCTATTAGTGAGTGAGTCTTATTTGTTTGCATTATTTGTGATATCTGACATATTTGGACTCACTTATGCCATTTTAGTTTGGTGGGTTTTGTTTGCTTTTTACTGCTCTTCTCATCTTCTATTGAATTGGTCAATTCTTCTTTATTTCCTCTTCTAGATTAAAAGTTACACATTCTACTTCTGGTCCTTCAATAGGTACCATTAAAATGTTATTATACACAATTCACATTATTTTTGTTTTTATTTTTCTGAGATAGAATCTCCCTGTTACCCAGGCTGAGTGCAGTGGTGCAATTATAGCTCACTGCAGCCTTTACCTCCTGGGCTCAAGTGATCCTCCCACCTCAGCCTCCCCAATAACTGGCAGCACAGGCTTGTGTCACCATACCTGGCTAATTCACATTATTTTAAAATAAATACTAAAGTTTGTGTATATTCTCCTAAACAAGCAAGGAATTGAACACATTTGTATTTTACTCTAAACAATCTCCTTCTGGCTCCTATGTTAACTATTGTCTAGTGTTTTAGTTCTACCTTGTTTTTTTTGGTTGTTCGTTTTTGTGGGGTTTTTTTGAGATGGAGTTTCGCTCTGGTTGCCCAGACTGGAGTGCAATGGTGCAATCTCAGCTTACCGCAACCTCTGCCTCCCAGGTTCAAGCGATTCTCCTGCCTCAGCCTCCCGAGTAGCTGGGATTACAGGCATGCACCACCACACACAGCTAATTTTTGTATTTTCAGTAGAGACGAGGTTTCTCCATGTTGGTCAGGCTGGTCTCGAACTCCCAAACTCAGGTGATACGCCTGCCTCGGCCGCCCAAAGTGCTGGGATTACAGGCATGAGCCACCACAGTTGGTCAGTTGTTTATTAGTGGTAGTTCACGTATTTTCTTTTCTTTTTTTTTCTTTTTTTGAGATGGAGTCTTGCTCTGTCACCCAGGCTAGAGTGCAGTGGCATGATCTTGGCTCACTGCAAGCTCCCCCTCCCAGGTTCACGCCATTCTCCTGCCTCAGCCTCCCGACTAGCTGGGACTACAGGCGCCAGGGCCACCCCACCTGGCTAATTTTTTCTATTTTTTAGTACAGATGGGGTTTCACCATGTTAGCCAGGATGGTCACGATCTCCTGACCTCCTGATCTGCCCGCCTCGGCCTCCCAAAGTGCTGAGATTACAGGTGTGAGCCACCGCGCCCGGCTGATTCACGTATTTTCACCAGATTTCCCCCCCTTTTCTCACCATTGTTCTTGAATTCCATCTTTCATCCTGGCTTTTTCTTTTTTGTTAAAATCTTACTTTTGGTAGCTTTTTGGTGAGAGTCAGTTAACTAACTCTCTTGGACTTTGGATGTATTCAAAACATATTCTGGTCATGCATGGTGATTCACGCCTGTCATCCCAGCACTTTGGGAGGCCAAGGCAGGCGGATCACTTGGTGTCAAGAGTTCGAGACCAGGCTGGGCAACATGGTGAAATCCCATCTCTACCAAAAAACATATGTTTAAAAGAATTAGCCAGGTGTGCTGGCACATACCTGTAGTGCTAGTATGTATACCTTCAGCTACTCAGGAGGCTGAAATGAATGAATTGCTTGGGCCAGGAGGCAGAGGTTGCAGCGAGCCGAGATTGTGCCACTGCACTCCAGCCTGGGAGTAGAGACGGGGTTTCAACATGTTGTCCAGGCTGGTCTCGAACTCCTGACCTTGTGATCTGCCGGCCTCAGCCTCCCAAAGTGCTGGGGTTACAGGCATAAGCCACTGTGCCCAGCTAAATTTTCATGGGTTTCATTTTTGAATGAATTAAATGATATGATGAATTAAATGAAAATTTTAATGAATGATCACTTACTTTGGGATAGAATTCTATTGTGTCAGTTTTCCTCCCTGACGACTGTGAAGATAGAATTCATTCTCTTCTGGTACCTGCTGCTTCTGAGGAGAAGTTTGTTGTCAGTCTAGATGTGTGATTGTTCATTTGGAGATATTTTGCCTTCTCTTTTCTGTTTGCGTCTAAAATTTTCTCTTAATATTTCATAGTTTCACTGTAATGTGTCAGTGTTTGAAAATTTTAATTTATCCTGCTCATGACTCAGTGCAATTTCTTTTGTTCTGAGAAATTCTCACCATTGTCTCTATTCTATTCTTCTGGAATTTCTAGTAGAAATTTCTAGTAGAAATTCTAGTAGAAATTCCAGAACGGTCTCTTTCTAACCTCCATGTCTCTTAGTGTCATGTTCCTGTTCTTAATTTCTTGATTTCTCTGTGCTATGTTTGCTTTTTATTTTTGCAACTTTCAATTCACTAATTATCTTTTCAGTTGCTTCTTTTTTTTTTTTAATTTTAATGGGTATATTTTCTTTCTTCTTCTTCTACTTTTTTTTTTTTTTTTTTTTTTTTTTTTTATGGGTGTTTTTTTTTTTTCTTTTTTTTTCCTTTTTTTTTTTTTTTTTGACAGAGTTTTGCTCTTGTTGCCCAGGCTGGAGTACAGTGGCACAATCTCAGCTCACTGCAAACTCTGCCAGCCAGTTTCAAGCGATTCTCCTATCTCAGCCTCCTGAGTAGCTGGGATTACAGGTGCACGCCACCATGCCTGGCTAATTTTTGTATTTTTAGTAGAGTCAGGGTTTCAACATGTTGTCCAGGCTGGTCTCGAACTCCTGACCTTGTGATCTGCCGGCCTCAGCCTCCCAAAGTGCTGGGGTTACAGGCATAAGCCACTGTGCCCAGCTAAATTTTCATGGGTTTCATTTTTGAATGAATTAAATGATATGATGAATTAAATGAAAATTTAATTCATTCAATTTTCAATGAATTAAATGAAAATTTTAATTTCATTTCTTAGATTTCTACTAAATTATTTTTCAAATGTAATTGCTCTTGTTTCAAAATCTCCTAATCTTAGATCACTAATTTGGATTCTTTCCCTTTGTACAAAGGATACTATTTTTAAACTACTTCCAGATGTATTATTTTATTTTCCTATCCTGAATATCTTCACATCACATTGTGGTGACTAGAGGGCTTCTAGAAAGAGGCAGAGAAACATGTATTTTTATTTATTTTTTGAAAAAAATACATTAACAGCTTTTATCATCAAATTGGATTTTGTTTGACTCTGCACTAAAAACAAAAAATAAGCCTGAAGTCCAGGTCCCTGTAAGTGTAGAGAAGCTATCCTAACCAGACTTAATGTCTAAGAAAGAGGCCAGAATCAGAAAGAAATAGGTTATTATATAGAGAAGTGAAGCCCAGAGCCCAGCACTTCAAGGCCTTGCATGTAATAGGACAAGCTTCATGGGGGTGTGACCTACACAGACACACAGGGCCCCAGGCTTAGAAGGGCCACAAATGGTTTATTGATCAAAGAGACCCTCGTTCATTTTGAACTGGGCCCCAAAATTACGTAGCTGGTTCTGGTACTAGTGGTACTAGGGAAAGTCCTGAGAAGACAGAAAGAGGAAGAAAAGAAAAAGAACAAAAACAAAAACAAAAACACCCTGATGTTTTTGACCCCCAAGGCATTTTGAGTAGAAGAGACATAGAGGCAGCAGAGACACATCAATCCCAACTCTTCCTTGGCCCAGAATGACAGAGGATATTGCTTGATTTGAGAGAAATACCAAAGGTGGGGTCCTTTTGTCCAATTTAACATTTTGGATTCTGGAAGAAGAGTTCAGTCTCCCTTGTCCCCACCCCAAAACAGAGATAATAAAGCAGTTCTGAAAGCGACTTTAAAATAAAAATATTTTTAAAAATTTCAAAGAGGTATAGTACAGTAGGATAATAAATTTACACTGTGCACAGGTGAATGGTGAAAATGCAGTTTAAAGAAATTTGCTGTTACTTGATTCAATTTGTATCAATTGTTTCTATCCATATAAAGGTGGGAGGAAAAAATATAAATTTTAAGTCAAATCCAGTAAATATGGCCCAGTGCAATAACTGAAATAGTCCCTTTAAGTTAATTTTCAGTCTTTTGATTTAAACGTGCCCAGTTCCTCACGTTTCCGCCTATTCCCTCTTTGCTCTCCAAGGTGCTGTTGAATGGGTGCCTGTGGGTATAGCAAACATGGCCATGCAGTGGTGGAGGAAGGGAGTCTCCCATCTCCACTGGGCCTTGTGATGGCTCTGGGTCTTCCTTGACCTCTGCAGTGATAGAACTCCTATGCCTGATCCCTTCTCACTATGCTGCTATCAGTTGTCTCTGAGCTGGTGTAACTTGCATTCTGACTCTCTCAGTTTGGTCAAAGTCAGTTTTGCCCCACTGCTCTTGGCCCCTCTAAATCTCTTTCACATTCCCTAAGCCAGCTGGCCTGGGCTGCTCACCCACAGCCTCTGCAGCAGATTGTCTCACTCTTGCCAGGACAGGCCCCACAGAAGGTTCACCGATTTCTAGTTCAACTGGCTTCCAGATAAACTGAAGGCTAATGACCAATTCAGGACACCCTGAAGGCTTCATGGCTTCATTTCCTCTTGCCACTGCGAGTTTAGGTTTCTTCTTCATTTCTGGTACTTAGATATTTTTCCTTTTTGCTGTCAAGCCCTGCTTAAAATATTTTTTTTCCTCTTTTTTTCAGTATTTCTGTGTGCTTAGAGTGATGCTTTGTGTGTCATCTTGTCTGGAAGTCCTGGAATATTATTTTTGCTAGTAATTTGCTTTAAAAACCCTCTTTTCCAGAGGTCAAGGTAAGTACTTCAGTTCATTCTCTAAGTAAATGCAATCTGAGTTAACTAAGTTTTGTTAGGCATTTTTTTCCTTTTTGGTCATCTAGCATACAGGAATTTTTTTTCTGTGCAGTGACTATTTCCATTCTTTTTTTCTACGCATCAATATAAATCCTCAACACCAATTAGACTCTATGAGAGGATATTGTATACAATGTACGTGCCAGGACACAAATAAAATAATTCCAATTAATTATTAAGTAAGTAAATATAGAAATATTTACTATTATAAAGCATTTATAAGAGTCAAATGCCTGAACTTTATGGATCATACAATCTACTTGGAGAAATATGGCTGCATAAAATATTTAAATAACTTTAGTCTGCAGTTCAGCAAGTGTGCATACCAGTGCCACTAACACCACCTATTGTAAACTTTTGTGGAAAGGAGAGATTGTTATCAACTGGGGTGTTCAGTGAAGCCCTCATGGCAAAGGCTTATTTTAAGTTGAAAGTTGAGAGATCAACTGATGTTTAGTAAGCTTAGATAAGGAGTAGTGTTGCATTCTCCTATTTTTGTGCTGCATTCTCTTATTATTTTATTATTATTGAGTTTCATGAATGTTTTCCTCCTTAGGCTTCTTTTCCAATTAGAAATAATGTTTACTGGATATCTGCTGAATACAAATCAATACATGTTTCCTGTGGAAAATATGAAAAATTATAAAGAAGAATAAAGCACCATCCATAATTTTACTCTACAAAGCCAACAGACATAATTTTGATTTTATAATTTCAGTATTTTATGTGCACATTTGTGTTGAATAAAAGTTAAATCATATTGAGCTTATATCTCTTTAATCCGTTTTTTTTTCACTTATGAGCATTTTCCTTTTTGAATAAGATTCCTCTAAAATGTAACTTTTAATGACTGTATATTTATCATATTTGTTTAACAATACCATATTGTGAGTCACTGGGAGAAAGTCAGGTAGTTGAGTCCTCAAATTTCATTCTCACCTTCTTTCATAATAAGAGAACCCTTATTTCAATGGGACTATATTATGTCCAGTTAAAAGCCACATCTCCCAGCCTCCTTGGACTAGGTGTGGCCATTGACCAAGTTCTGGCCAATGATATGTAAGGAGAATAGTTATCAGCAATTTAAAGAAAAAAAAGGGGGCTGACTCAGTTGAAAGCAGCATTCTTTTGCTTTTGCCTCCTATCAACTTCCCACTGCATGGGATGAGGAGGCGATGGCTGGAGTTCCAATAGGCATCTTGGATCACGAAATAACCTCAGAAAGCTGTTTCCTGAAGATGCTGAACTGGCAAGAAAGAAACCCTAGTCCTTGATGATATTGTGAAGACACCATATTAACATGGATGGCCTATTTCTGAATTTCTTTCAGGTGAGAAAGAAATATATTTATATTTTATTTAAATGTTCTCTTATACGCAGACAGACCTAATTCTAACACAGATACTTAGACTGATTCCGATTTTTGCTGTTATAAGTTATGCTGTAATTAACATACTTGTTCAAAGGTCTCTGTGCATTTGTCTGAGAAATTTGAAAATGTATTTCTAGAAGTTGAATCATAAATTAAAAGTTTTATGAACATTTTAAATTGATTTTTGGCATATCTTGTCTAATTTGGGAAGGGATTTTTAATGAGGGTACTCCTGGGCAATGAACAAATGAGTAAGAATACACACATCCTAAATGTGCGGCTAAAACTCCACTCTATTGTTCCCTTTACTAGAATGGCTAATGAGCCACAGTCAAAAGGCTAAAAAAATTACCCAGTAAAATAGTTGTGTTTCAAGCCTGTCAGGTAGTTATTCTTAAGATTTTCATCTGAATTAAACTGTAAAGCGATAGACTTCCCACCCCCCACCAAAAATCTCAAAAAAAAAAAAAAACCAAACCAAAAACAAACAGAAAGCTACCATGTGAGGTTTATTTCTTTCCCTGATTTTAGTTTGCTCTGGATTATTTGAAAGATGATTATTATTGGTGAGTTATGTGAGTCAATAGTTCTCAAACTTCAGCACATATAAAACTTCATCTAAAGCTCATCAGAAAATGCAGATTCCTGAGCTCCACTTCCAGGTCTTCTGATTCAATTGATCTGGAGGGGGTGCAGGAATATGCATTTTAACAGGCACACCACTGAGAGTAGCCCTGATCCAGATAAGTTAAAGAGTTTTTCAGCTTGTTATAGTTTGGATGTTTGTCCTCCTAAACCTCACGTTGAAATGTGATCCCATATGTTAGAGGTGGAGCCTAATGAGAGGTGTCTAGGTCATGGGGGCAGATCCCTCATGAGTAGATTAATGCCCTCGCTTAGGAGGGGTAGTGAGTGAGTTCTTGCTCTATTAGTTCCCATGAAAGCTGGTTGTTAAAAAGAGACTGACACTTCCCCTCTCTCTCTTGCTTCCTCTTGTCATGTGATTTCTGCACAGGCCAGCTCCACTTTACCTTCTGCCATAAGTGGAAGCAGCCTAAGGCCCTCACCTGAAGCCAAGCAGATGCCAGCAGCGTGCTTCTTGTATAGCCTGCAGAACCGTGAGCCAAATAAACCTCTTTTCCTTATAAATTACCTAGCCTTAGATATTTCTTTATAGCAACACAAAATGGACTAAGATACAGCTATTGCCTGAAATTCCATCCATTAGTAAATCTTGTTGCCACTGCTTGTTAGTCCTTCTAGAGAAGCTGACCAAGGATGGGCATAAAGGTGCAACTGAGACCGGCAGTTCTGCTCTTTTCTATCAGTTGATTGACATTTTGTGGCTCTGGATGTAAAGCAATGGCCACACTTATGAATAATGGATATAATACTTTAGAAATTATTTAATGTATTTTTTATTCTCCCTAAATCGAGATGTCATATGGCTCTTCATCCTTTTAATCAATGAATTTTAATGCTTCAGGGGCAGGGCAGTCACTGGCTAGAACACCAAAGTCATTGCTCAGCTTTGACTGTCAAATGAAGCTTTTTATGTATTGTATCCCCAGGGAGAAAGTGCTGTTGAAAGCTAGGCTGCATCAAGAGAGAAAGGAATTTCTAAATTTCCAAAGCTCCCTTTATGTATCATTTATTTCTAATCTTATTGGATTCCTATTAGAGAATGAGGTCTGTAAAATCTCTACTTTTCATACTTTCTTGAGGTTTATTTTACAGGCAAGTACATGGTCGATTTTTGCAATATGTCTTTCTTTCAATGGATGTCAAATTCTTTAGTTATTAAAACAAGTGAGTTGATCATAATTTCAGTTCTTCTGTGTCTGTATTTATTTTTTGTCTCCTAGATCTCACTGATTTGAAAGAAGTGTATTGGAATCTCCCACTCTAACTGTATTTTATTTGTTCTTTTTGAATATTGAATATTCTTTTTGAATTTAATTTCATTTTTATCAAAGCAATATTCTTTTGCAGTCAAATTGTGCTATGACGCTTAAAGCAACAAGAAAAAAAGGCGTGTCATTCCTTGCCTTACTCCCACTTCCCCAAATTATCACTCCCCAGAAGCAATCACTTTCAGCTCTTTTTGCTTTATCTTCTTGTGGTTACCTATATATTTCAAAATTCTATGTATCTTTGGCTTTTAAATTTTAAATATTACCTATCAACATTCTACTTTGGAAAATGAGTTTGGAGGGAAAAGAAAACAAATTCCTGTATCCAATCTGCTACATTTAAAGTTTTTAAGGATGGGGGAAAGAGGAACAAGAGCAATTGGTAAGAGACGTGGAACCTGTTTCTTCCTCCCCAGGCCAAAATCCCAGTTGCAGGTTTGATGAGTATTCAAAATTGTGATACATTTAAAAATATTTATTGAGCACTTACCATTCTACTAAAAATGACCTCATGAACTTGCATTCTAATGAGAGAGCCAGAAAATAAACAGATATGGAAAATATATGTCAATTGGTATAAAAAAGAAAATGCTATGAAGAAAATAAAATAAGGTAGATAGGATGGGGGGGCGTTAAGTAGGGTCATTATAGAAGGCCTGACTAAGAAGGTGGCATCTGAGCAAAAATGCCTGAAGTAGGTGAGAAAACTGGCTAAGTGTGTTCTGAGAAGAGCAGAATGAAGGAAGGGCAAAGGTAGGAAATGAGGTCACAGAGGCAATGCAGGGGCCCAGTGGCAGGAAAGGATGAGAGTCAGATTGTGTAGGATCTTGTCAGTACTTAGACTTTTACTCTGAGAGGGAAACTTCTGGAGACTTTTGAATACAGGAGTGATCTGATTTAACTTAAGTTTAAAGGAATCACTTTCCCAGTTGTATTAACAATAGACTGAAAGGAGACACAAAGTGTGGAAGCTGGAGACCAGCCAGGTAAGTAATGCCATAATTCAAGTGAGAGATAAGTACAACTTGGATTGGAGTTCAGTGGGGAAGGTGGTGAGAAGTATGAATTCTGGATATATTTTGAAGGTAGAGCCGATAAGATTCGCTGATGGGTGAGCCGTGGCAATCTGAGAGGAAAAGAACAGACAAGGAATTCTGGCCTAAGGAACTGGAAGAATAGAAGTGCTGCTTCCTGCAATTGGGAAGATTGTGGTTAGGAACCTATTTTAGGAGGAGAAAATTCAGCTGTGGATATGTCATGTTTGAGATGCCTCTTGGTCATCCAAGTGAAATGGCGAACTAGACAGTTGGATATTTAAATCTAAAATTCACTGGAAAGTTTAGACTGAAAATGAAATTTGGGAGTTATTAGCATAGATGGTATTTAAAGCCAGAAGACTGGATGAGAACACCCAGGGAGTGAGCGAGTATGAAAAAGAAGAGAAGGAGGCCTAAGGACTGAGCTCTGGGTTACTTCACACTTAGAGGTCAGAGGAGGAGGCAGAGAAGACTTGATAATGAAGTCAGAAGAAAACTAGGATTTCCAGGAGGCCAAGTAAAGAGTATTTCAAGGAGAAAACACAACTTTGTCAAATGCCGCTGATACGTGAAATAGGATGAGGACTGATCCTATTGACTGCTGGATTTACCAATATGGAGGTCATTAGTAGACTTGAAGAGAGCTATTTCAATGAAATGGTAGTGGGGGTGGGAGGGAGGAGAGGAAACCCTGGGGGAAATAAAAATGGTGAATATAAATTTTATCAGGGGATTTGCTGTAAAGGGGACCAGAGAAGTGGGGTGGTAGATGGAAAGGGATGGAAGAGGATGTATGTTAAGGTAGGAAATGGAATTCTGTGTGTTTATTTATTATTATTATTTTTCTTTCTGACTCTTATTTTAGGTTTAGGGAGTACATGCGCAGGGTTTGTTATATGAGTACATTGTATGTTGCTGGGGTTTGGAGTACATATTATTTTGTTACGCAGGTACTAAGCATAGTACCCAATAGGTAGATTTTCAGTCCTCACCCTCCTCCCACCCTCCACTCTCAGGTAGGCCCCACGTGTCTGTTGTTTCCTTCTTTGAGTCCATGTGTACTCAATAGTTAGCTCCCACTTATAAGTGAGAACATGTGGTATTTGGTTTTTTGTTCCTGAGTTAATTCACTTAGGATAATGACCTCCAGTTGCATCCATGTTGCTGCAAAGGGCATGATCTCATTCTCTTTTATGGCTGCATAGTATTCTGTGGTGTGTATGTACTATATTTTCTTTATCCAGTCCACCATTGGTGGGCATTTAGGCTGATTCCATGTCTTTATTATTATGACTAGTGCTGTGATAAACATACATGTGCATGTGTCTTTATGGTAGAATGATTTATATTCCTTTAGGTATATACCAAGTAATGGGATTGCTGGGTTGAATGGTAGTTCAGTTTTAAGTTCTTTGAGAAGTTGCCAAACTGCTTTCCACTGAGGCTGAACTAGTTTACATTTCTACCAGC